GGATCCCCGCAGCTCAGAGAACGCTCCCCCACTGCCCGGGAGTGCAGGCCTGGAGAGGGGAGACTGAGGGGCAGCAGCCTCCCGCAGGGACTCACGCTCGGTGCAGTACTGGCCTTTCCAGCCAGGGTTGCAGACTTTTTCCCCTCTCTCCCCACAGGTGAAGTGGCCGAAGGCGTCATCGCGGGGGCGGCAGAAGACGGAGCAGCCTTCCCCGTAGTAATGCTCATCACACACGAAGCGGTAGGAGTACTTGAGGTCTGTGCGGCCGCTGCTGTGCTGGTCCTGGGACCACTCCTCGCCCACCGTCAGGTGCCGCTGCGTGGCCAGGCGGCTGATGAGTCTCTCTGGGTTCTCTGTGGGAGGAGGTGCTTGGTTGGCTCTGACTGAGAACGCAGGGGCTTGGGGAGTGAGGGAGGTGGAAAGGAAGCCAGGGAAGGAGGCCCAAGACTCATCCTGAACCTTTCCGGGGAACATGCAGAATGAAAAATGTAGACGTTGCTTTCCCAGGAGATCTGAAGTCAGATGTATACTAACTGGGAAAGCGGTCTGCACAGTCTTTACCTGTTGCCAGGTCGTCAGGAGAATCCGTGTGGAGAGCTTCAATGATCAGAGAGAAGGTGCCCTGGGAGAAGGGGGGAGGAGACATAAGACAGAAATGTTAAAACAAAAAATCAAAGCTCTCGGGACAGCCAAGTAAGCGGCGGCAGCTCCGCGTGCGCAGTGTGTCCTGCGGGGCCTCTGGACATTGCTTGCCTGATTTCAGTTTCCTTAAGGAAATGGAAGAGCGTTTAAAAGAATGGTTTCCTGACGTGTTTTTTCAGCCTGTTAATACAGGATATCGCGTTAAAAAAAAAGAAAGAAAGAAAGAAAAGAAAAAAGACCGCGTGGAGCAGGCGGGGCTGCAGGGAGCTGTCAGCAGCCTTCCCGGGAATGGACCCAACGGAGGGGCTGGGGGCTGTCAGGCTCCGAGGGTAACAGAACCGCCAGCCGACCAGGAGCTGGGGAACTAGAACCTTCCCACGTGAAAGGGTCTGCTCCACCTGGGGGCTCGGCACCGAGGCCGGATACGGAAATGTCCCGGGTCCTCGGCCTCTCCGCCTCGTCGCGCCCCGGCTGTCACCCCTCCCCCACCCCTCCCGGCAGCC